TCATATGGGTTAAGATGACTCTGGCTCCCACGTCTCACTGGTGGTCCCCTATTCTAGGGATCTTTGCCTGTCTAGGCCTGGCCCTGCTCTCCAGCCAGTTGGGGTGCCAGGCCCTCTACAGCATTGACCTGACCCTTGCGGTGAGCACCTTTGCCTTTTGCCTCCCTCCCGGGGCCTGGGCCCAACCTGGACCAGTCGAGGTGGTACAATGCCCCCCTGGCAATCTACCCTCTCCCTCACTCTGGGCCTCACTCTCAGAACCATACACCCCTACACTGGTTCCGGGACCACAAGCCCCTCATGTTCTCATCCTCAGCACTCTCCTGGTATCCTTTTTTCCTGGCACTGTTCCACTTGTGTCCTTGGCCTGCGAGCTCCACAGTCCTATTCTAAGTCATCTGATGGCCCCTTGCCCCAGCTGGGAAGGCTCCACTCTCTCCATGCCTGCAGGGTACTCTCAGGGGTCCTAGTCACACAGCCCTACTCTCTCTACCCCAGCCAAGCTAGGGACCCTCTCAGGTCTCCTGGAACCTCCTCCATGCCAAGGGTTCCTATCCTTTCCTCCAGTTACTCCAGGAGCTACAGTCCTCAAGCTGCGTGTTGTAACTCCTTCCACTCCCCTGATGTAACTCCTAGACGGCAGCCCTCCGCCTGAGATGGGCCCCTAACCCAGCCCAGGCTCCTTTAGCCAGTTTCCTGCCTGATAGTAACATAAGGCTTTTTATTGGCAATATGTGCTTGCCTCTTAAGCACCAGGCTGCTCTAATGAGGGCTAGCATCACCTGCCCAGCTCACTGACTAACCTTAAAATGGCAGACACTGTCAGTGCCCTGCCACCACAGCTTTTTCCAATGTTTAACCACCCTTACAGTCAGAAAATTCTTCCTTATCACCAACCTAAATTTTCTCTGCTGCAGTTTGAGGCCATTGCTCTGAGCCCTGTCCACTGCAACAACAAAGAGAAATCTATCTCCATCCTCTCTATAATCACCTATCAGGTATTTAAATACTGTGATCAAATCTCTCCTCTGTCTTCCCTTCTCCAGACTAAATAACTCTATCTCTGTCAGCCTTTCCTCACAAGTCATGCTTCCCAGGCCTCAAATTATTTTTGTTGCTCTCTGCTGGACACTTTCCAATCTATCCACATCCTTCTTGAAATGTGGGGCCAAAAACTAGACTTTAAATGCAACTATCTGCTTTAAATGCAACTACTTGCAGTGTTACTCAAAGTGAGCAAGGATGGCAGGCTCAGCTTGATGACAGAGAATTTCCCCAAGAAGAAAAAATTGTCACGGTGGCAGCAAGGAAAGTGTTTACAATTTAAGGTCAGTTTGTACTGCCTTTATTTATACTGAGATATACCTTGTCCACACATGGTACGATTGAAATACTTAATTCTATACAGCAGAGCAAGGTAATACAAGTTAGCCCAAAACAGCGAGTGGGAACAGTACACGGAAAACAACCTTCTTGGTCCACACTTTAAGGCTTCCCTAAAGACAGTAGATGGAATTTAACTATAAAATCTACACCCCACCCCCCTCCCCCCAAACCCGTCTCCCCAAAAACCTGGACTTGGGGTGGGTTGGCAGGTCAGGGAATCTTTTACTATAATACACAAAAATGTGCTTGACTAATCTAAACCTTGTGCTGCATGCTTATACTGCTGTGGCAATTATAACTGAAAAAGAAACATGTCACCCAATATGGAAATACTTTTTTTTTTATGTTTGACAGTTTTACATTTCTACTGACAGGTAAAGCCAATGATTTAACCATTCTCCATTTCCCAAAACTGCTGAGTAGGGACTGGCCTCTCCCTCCACCCTTCTCAGAGGCCTGGCTATTAGAGAAGAAGGCCATGCAGAATTTGATGGCATTCCCTTGGTTTCTTATGTAGTACTGTAGAATTTTATACTATTTTTTTTAGCCTTCCCATAAGTTCTGGCATGTACATGGTGAATTATAACTGTCGGATATTCAATGCTCCAGTGGCTAGAAATTGCCTTTGGAAAAGCAAAGCATTTGGCCACTCTTATAAGAAAACTAAAATTACTTTCCAGTTATTGAAGTCGACGTTGCTTTCACACCTGCTTCCAAGGTTTTCCGTTCCACCAAGGAAAAATAAAGCAAGCAACTCTTCCTGTAGTTATTCCCTCCTTATTCCACGTTTTTACAAAGACACTCATTTCAGCTTTGTTTTCTCTTTCTCTATTGAGAATACTGAGTTCAGCTAGGACAGTGATTCTCAACCTTTCTAGGCTGAAAGCACCGCTTTTTAGACTCGAGGCACCTCTCAGAAAATGCCTGCTCTTAGCTTTCACTCATGTTTTGATTACAGAAAAATATTAGAGCAATTCTTCTGTTGCGAAGAACTCAGGAAGACCACAACAGGTCAGAATATTTTGGGCACTATGGATTACTACTTGAAATCTCTGGGTTTATTTTGTGAATAATGTGTGGGTATTTGCACACCTAACAGTAACTAATATTGACTGGCACATGGTGGCACTATTAAAAGGATCTCATGGCACCCCACGGTGCCACAACACCCTGGTTGAGAAACCCCTAAGCTAGGATCTGTAGCTGTTTTCTAGCAGCATAAGGACAGGCCATAAAGAAGGAAAAAGGACAGCAATCTTAATCCTGCTCCAGTCAAAGCTGATGAGAGCTTTTCCTCTAACAGGGTACCAGTTCAGTGTATCAAATATTTTGCCCACAGTGCTGAGCAAATACATATCAACTACAAGCATCCTGATCAAGGACAAGACAAGGGGCAGCTGTTTCCTCCAGAAGAGGTATAAAGAAGCAGCTACAAGCCAGACAGAGAAAACAATCAGGTGGCCACACAAAAGATGGGAAACTGGAATCTGAGTGTCAGTACAGAGAGAATAAGAACCAATCCAAATCAGGAACTGAACCTCTTGAGCCCATATTGAAATACAGAAGTGTTGAATTAACTTCACATTCCCACTCTCATCACATGTAGCAGGACAATCCCAAATGGCTCGTGCAGAGACTCACAGGGGTTGGAAGAACACCATGATGGACCAGACAAGAATTCTTCAGGTAGACACTCCAGAGAGTACTTGTGAATCTTGCTACAGGGTCACGCTCTGAGAGGAGGCAAAGTAATAGCACATGCCACCTCAGGGGATTCCTGGAGGTGATGTAAGTAGAAACTGGAAATTTGGATGGGCTCCCAATGAGCATAGATGAGCATCTGACTAAAAAAGGTTGATGTTATAGAGAATGCTTTCTATCACAAATGATGTATAAGAATTAAGTCTCAAATGCATTAGACATTTTTCTATATATTCCTTTAGCATGGTTTAAGTAGCTAACAGATAGATTCTACAGATATCTGCAGTAACTGTACTTTAAAAGAACTGAACAAGAAGAGGAAGACTATATCCAAACATTGTGGCATGATAACTTTGCCTTTGGCCAAAACCTGGTACATATTTTAATGGGACTCACTATCTGAGGAGGACAGTTGAATGAGTCTTTACAGAATTTCACAGTAAAACCTAGTAGCAATTCCAAAACACTTCCTTGCACTATTTCAGCTGATCTCTTTTGGCTTCTGGAGCCTACTCTTGGTCTGTGCTAAAGGATGACTACAATCAGTAGACCCATATGCTCACTGTGTTACTGTTGTTCCATAATGTAACTGACAACTGGTATGAGATGAGATATTCACCTGGATCTACCACTAGGAAAGAGTCGGGTTAATATCTCTGTCACTTGGCTCTAAAAATGCCATAAGTTCTCAGCCTCATAAAATATACTAATTCCTTCCTCTTCTACATATTTTTTCTCTTTTCATCTTTGTGTGCTAAACATATTATGATGCACCGTATGTCTTACCTACTTCAGAACTATTGTGTGACTTCCCCTCTTCTAGGAATTTAGACATTAGCCATTAGTGATGCATGTGCATCATAGCAATCTTATTCTTGCATCCATTAAGAAAAGGAGAACTAGTTAGAAATTAGTAACTTGTTCTTTATGAGGCGATAAAAATAGATTCTGGAAGTGACTCAAAAACATACAGTTACAGACTGCAACACTTGAAAATTCAAACCAAAAATAAAAATACACAGATATACTCATTGCTTGAAATCTAAGTGCATTCCAGGCAAGGTTAAAATTACTAAGCAAAACTGAAAGTAAACAGTTAAAAATATCCGTTGCTAAACCTCTAGATATATGTTCTCATTTCCCTACTTCATCTACCCACATTCAGGGTTTCCCACTCCCTCACAACTACCCTTATGAAAAAGAAAAAAAATCCCTTCTTTTTCTGTTAGTGCTAATATTATGGTAAAAGCTATAAAAGCTCAGAGATGCAAGGGAAGAGACAAACGTTTCTGTGGTGAAGGCCTGGATAGTGACTTATGAAGCCTGGGTTCAGTCCCAAGTCCTCTCAAGAACTTCTATTTCACTTTGGCCAAGTCACATTGGGCATTTATACACATACCTTTTTGTCACATGATGCGCTGGAGAGCCACGGCTTTAGAGAGGACTGATACAAACTGCACTGTGCCGTGTGCAGTTGTATAAGTGGCAAAATGCATGTCAGTGTGTAGAAAATGGTGGTGGTGCACTTTTGAACTAAAGCACCCCAAATGTGTTTTAATTCAAAAGCATGCTGCTGCCATTTTCTCAGCACTGAAGTGCATTTTGCTGCTTATAGAACTTTTCAAAGCGCCAAGCATGGAGGCGCTTAAATATGTAAAAGCGCCCTTAGGGCACAGACAGAATGACAAGTTTCACCTGATCTGGCCACAGAAAGCGGTCTATAGCCATAACCAAACACAAACACACAGCTGCAGATCACTTAAAATATGGTCTATCAGGTAAAAATCTGAACCCTCATTGCATGAGGAGTCAGATAAAGATGTTTCAAAACAGAGTGTCTTCTGCAACTTCTGCCTGCCAGCCTGCTGCTGTTTTCAGAATGGGAGGGAGGAAAGGGAGAAGAGAGAATTCAGTCTGGGTTTTTTTTAGCCCCTGCTGGAGGGTGGGGTCAGTGTTTTGAGCCAAGGGAGAAATCCCTGGAGTGGGGCTCTCCATGCTGGGGTTGTGAGGTGGGTGGAGTTGGGCAGCAGCCTGCCTGGGAGGGCAATGGTCTTCACATGGGAGGCAGTGCTGACACCGCTCAGCTGGATCCCAAGCTGTCTTTGATCCTGTGCATAAACTCCTTATCTGGTGCTGTAACTCTCTCAGCTCTATAGTGGTGTGTGCGGCCTCCCTCAAAGAGTAGCTGGCCATCCACAGACCTCATCCTTGGACCTTCCCAGGGCATTCTTGAGCCTAGGTGGCTTATTCAAGTGCAGCAGCACTGTGGGTGCAAGCAGTCACTAACCTGACCACTCTAATGCCTCACGCTGAGGGTCCCATTTGGTCCTCATGTTGCCCATGCTGTCAGTGCATATGTCTCCAGCAATCTGCAAGTGTCCAGGAAACCATCGTGGATCCAACAACTCAGGCTCCATGACCAGGTCTCCCGCATACAAATAAGGAGTCTGCAGACAAGATAGACACTGATGGACCTCTGGTGAGTCCTCTGTCCAGACTCAGTGCTGACTATTGCACAGGATACCCATGTTCTGTCTCCCAGCTTGGAAAACCCAGGTGCCTGGGCTCCACCTCCCTGCCTTGGGAGCCAGGAGGGCTGGGAAACCCAAGCATCAGGGTCCAGACAGATGAGCTTTCTCTGGTTCTCTAGGAGGAGAGGGAGGGAGGGAATGGGGGGTGGGTTGCTAGGGAGAATTCCTAATTCCAACTGCACCTTACCTGCAGCAGTGTTTATTCATAGCTGCTCTGCCAAACAGCACCTGGAGGACTGCCAGAGAAAATATGTAGTTTCACCTGTTGGTTACACTTTGGCTGTGGGGATCGAAAAAATATTTCAGTGTATATCAGGATCTGCTTAGGTGTGAGTT